TAGTGCTCTGATAGGAATGCACACAAACACATACACACACACTATATATAGAGAGAGATAGATAGATAGATAGATAGATATAGATATATAGATAGGTAGATAGATAGATTTATATATGTGTATCTATATGTATATACATATATATAAATATATATGTATATATATACACATGTATATATACATATATGTATTATATATGTATTATATTATTATACATACATACATATATATATATATATATATATAGTGTGTGTGTGTGTGTGTATGCATGTGTGTATGCGTGTGTGCACGTGTGCATATATACATTCATGCATACACCTATGCATATGCATGTGTATGCATATAAGTATGTTTGCATGCAAAGTAGAGACCCGTAAAAGTTTCGGGCAGATGGGTAGACGAGACCAAGAGAGCCAAAGACAAACTAGCGTCGCCACCCGCAGTCTGCAGATATTGGACTTGTCAAGGGTTTGTTGTACGCTTTAAGGGTTGAATAGAAGTTTAACGTCATGTGAATACTATTAGGATCATTTTATTGTTGAGACGATTCTAGGGCGAGGGTGGACAGGCCCTAAGGAAATACAAGAGGGTCTAGAAATAACAGTGTCTGGCGTCTCTCGCGAATTAACGAGGATTCAGTGTCACCGGTTACTCTCGCTGGGGATTCTTCAGACCGCAGAACGAGGAAGATAAAAGGAAAAAAAAAGAAGGAAAGTTCTTTATCGTGACGTGATAAATGTGAGGATTTTAGCGATCTAATTAACTTCTGGCGCCTTCTCTTGCAGTCAGAGCAGACGCTGTGAATCATTTGGGTAAATGAAATGTCATTTAGATGATAGGCCTCAATTTACACAAGGCAGTGGTGGGGGGGGGAGGGGGGGAGTCACGCCCAAGAAGAGAGCCGTTTCGTCGAACTCTCTTTCCTGATTCTTGAACTGGGGAAGGCAGCCGATTACCCCGGATCCCCCCCCACCCCCCCACCCACGAGGAATTACCCCTGAGTTACCCCAGGATTATCGCCTCCCCCTCTCCTCCCCACCCCTCTCCTCCCCCCCGCTCCTCATCTCCCGCACTGACCACGAGGCAGGAGCCGGAGGGGGGGGGGGGTCGTCCACGCCGCACTGCTGCCGACGACCTCTGGTAATGACGGTCATTTTAGCGTGAGCTGCAGTTCTAGAATCGGGCGCTGGTGAGAGAGTAACGGAGGGGAGATGGGGAAAGATAGAGAAAGGGGGAAGAAAGAGTGAGAGGGATAGATAGGGAAAGAAAGTAGAGAGGGGGGAGGAAAGTGTGAGAGTGAGAGTGAGAGAGAGAAAGAGAGAGAGAGAGAGAGAGAGAGAGAGAATTGGAGGAAAAGAGAGAGAGAGAGAGAGAGAATTAGAGGAAAGAGAGAGAAAGAGAGTGAACTAGAGGAGAGAGAGAGAGAGAGAGAGAGAGAGAGAGAGAGAGAGAGAGAGAGGCGGAGAGGGAAGAGAGTGAGAAAAGAAGGGAAGAATAGATAGAGAGAAGGAAGGAGAGAGGAAGATTAAGAACTGAGTGAGAAAGGGAGGGAAGTAGAAAGAAATAAAGCTGCACTTTTATGTTTTTATATCGTTTTATATTATCAAGATCCTTATCAGTCGGGTCTGTGATGCATTAGTGTGATTGTTCCCTTCCTTCGCCCCGTCCCCCCCCCCCCCGCCTCTCTCCTCCCCCCCCTCCTCACTCCGCCCTCCCTCTGCCCTTGGGTCTTCGCTTTTGATCCTCAGGTCTCATGCGGACTCCTTGGCCGCTGGGTAAGCATGCCTTCTCCCTGGCCTTTCTGCGTGCCGTTGGGAAAGAGAGAGGATCTCTCTCTCTCCCTCTCTTTCCCCTCTCTCTCTCTTTCCCCTCTCCCTTTCCCTCACTCTCTTTCTCTCTCTCTCGCTCTCTTTCTCTCTCTCTCGCTCTCTTTCTCTTTCTCTTTCTCTTTCTCTTTTTCTCTCTCTCTCTCTCTCTCTCTCTCTCTCTCTCTCTCTCTCTCTCTCTCTCTCTCTCTCTCTCTCTCTCTCTCTCTCTCTTTCTCTCTCTTTCTCTCTCTTTCTCTCTTACTCTCTCTCTTACTCTCTCTCTTCTCTCTCTCTCTCTCTCTCTCTCTCTCTCTCTCTCTCTCTCTCTCTCTCTCTCTCTCTCTCTCTCTCTCTCTCTCTCTCTCTCTCTCTTACTCACTCTCTCTCTCTTACTCACTCTCTCTCTTATTCTCGCTCTCTCTCTCTCTCTCTCTCTCTCTCTCTCTCTCTCTCTCTCTCTCTCTCTCTCTCTCTCTCTCTCTCTCTCTCTCTCTCTCTCTTTCACACACGCACACAGCATTTTGCTTTTTGATTATCTCTACTTTATATTCCGCACCTACCTTCTATTTCCCTGTAAAAAATATGAATTTTAAACTTAAAAAAAAAAGTTCAGGGAAGGGAACAGCTGTCTGACGACGAACGGTTTCCTCTCCTACTCCTCCCCCTTCCCCCCCTCCCCCTCCCCCCCACCCCAACCCACCTACACATCTATCATCTGTTATTCGCACAACATATTATATTACTGCGTTTTTTTGTGTGTGTGTTCCTTGTGTATATCTTGAGGTGAGCTCAGGACCAGCTGGTGCCATACTGTTTTAACATGTCTATCGACTTTAAACCGAGTGCCTTGAGTCTTTCCTTAGTCTTTTCCTTTAGATCCTTCCCCTTTATTGTACTTGCTTCTCCTAGTTTTCCC